CCCCCCGTCACCTCAGTGAAACAGGCACCAGTGCTACAAAAGTCCGGGTTTAAAGACAAAAAGTGAAGAAAACTCTTATCCGTACCCCCCCCTCCCGTCGCCGCTTCTTCCCCCTCCCCCCCTTTCAGGAAGCCGTCTTGAATTTGCCTATGCTGCTAATCCTCCTTTTACTTCCTCATTTCACGTGTCATAAGAAAGTTTTATCTCCTATCAAAAGCAAAGTTGGGTTGGCCAAAAATGAGGGATAACAGATGGGCAAAATGGATTGTAGAATGGCCATCCATGCAATGTTACTATAACTTAACGGACAGTCAGAAAGACGATAAATTATTAGAAATTGGCTTATAAGTTCCCAAAAAAAAAAGTTCGTAGAAAGAAATAAGTCCCCAGAAATTGGCTTTCTGCTTTCCGTGCTAATATAAACCTAAGTAAATTTTTCCAGGAAACTTCAAAACTCGATTTTACTACCAGAATTTAACATAGATCTAGAAAATTACTTTTTGTTCGACTAAATCTTTAAATATAATTGATCTCGGTTATTACCTGCTCGTAAACCAGCCATAATTCATCACCCAGATCGCGCGGATGACGACTCAATACAAATTCCCATATTTCTACCGTTTCTTCGGATCGACGAACGTGCTCTTCACGCCATTTGCGTAAAATATTCCTTGCTTCTGCAAAATACTCCACTGCGAAAATGAAAAACAAAAAAAAAAAACGACGAATCTTTTCAAACCAGACCTAATTTTTCCTGAAAACTCAAAACTTCAAATAATTGTTGGCCAACACATGGGCTGCCCGTGCGAAGATGCGTTTTTTGCATAGTCCCCCGCAGTTTTTGTCGCTACCGGCATCGGTTTTTCCGGCAAATGAAACTAGCTAAACAAATTAAGATTGGCCGCCAGACCTGTCAGGAAACACTCCCTTAAAATTTCAGCTTTCTAGCTTCTCTGGCTACTGAGTTAGCAACTTACTGGAAAAAGCTTGCACGAGTCCTTACTTGGGTACCACTCATACCCGAGGGATGGGCTTGAGCTCGCTAAAACCCATTTGGATAGGAAATATCCCCTCAAAATTCTAATCCTCTAGCTTCTCAGGTTCCCGAGTTAGTAACTTACCCGAAAAAAACTTTGGCGGACCCGTACATAGGTACCACGCATGGTCGGTGTCTGAGTCTGAGCTCTTTGAAACTTACGTGGACGGGGAACATTCCCTTAAAATTCCAGCTTTCTAGCTTTTCTGGTTCGAGAGTTAGCGACTTACCCGCAAAAACTTTGGCGGGCTCGTACGTGGGTACCACGCATGCCTGAGGGCAGAGTTTGAGCTCTTTGAAACTTACGTGGACGGTGAACATCCCCTCAAAATTCCAGCTTTCTAGCTTTTCTGGTTCGCGAGTTAGCGACTTACCCGCAAAAACTTTGGCGGGCTCGTACGTGGGTACCATGCGGGTAAGACCGCTAATTTCGAAGATGAGGGTTCGTGCATGCATGTAGATTAATTTCTCAAAGTTTCAGCCTTGTAGCTTTTGTAGGTCTTGAGATGAAAAATCGGTACAGAGGCCAGCGCACACACATATACACACAGGCAACTTCTCGTCAATATGCATTTTCCGCATTGCATAGCTGAAAAAAATACATAAAAACCAGCAGCCTTAAAATGAGGAAAAGCTCAATACTTTAAAAATCCAAAAATCCTCAAATGAGGATATCCATGGTTATTTAAATGTGAATTCAGAAAACAACAAACCGTCAAAAGGAACCGTGGTCCAATCTTCATCCTCTTCAAACTTTCCTGGAAGTCCAACCTTTAGCAATTCGTCGATTATAGGACTAAGCGAGATCTTCATGGCCTGAAAAAGTCCTTGATGGCTCAACACTGAGTTCTCAGAAGTAATCAAGTATTAATAAATAGCGACGCGCACCAGAGCAACTGATGTGATTAAGCGTTTTTTTATGCAATTCCGTCCATCGAGCGATTGCCTGCTAATGATTTTCACTTCGCTGCACTTTGGTGTATGCAAAAACAGTTCAAAATTTGCGGAATTTCCCATCAAAAATTTCACGCACCGGTACGTGAAGGCTGAATCTGAAAGCTCGAAGAGTGAATATCCTTCCAAAATTTCAGCCCCACAATTTGCTGGCTTTCGAGTGATTTTTTTGCGACAAAACTTTCATGAGTTCGTAAGTGAAAGCTCGGCATATCTAGGAACTGAATTCGAATTTGTGAAGCCACTGCGCTTAGGTAGGAAACGTCCTCTTGAAATTTTCAACCTCCTTGCTCAACTGGCTTCCGAGATGATTTTTCCCGCCAAAACTTCCACGAGGGCGCTGAGAATTTGGGGGGTTGTACGTGAGCAGCGGATGCCACGCTAAAATTTCAGCTTCCTAGCTTTTGCAGTTCACGAGATAATTTCCCTACCGAAACTTTCACGGAGCCGTACACGGCGCGCAGGGATGCGTGAAGGCTGAATTCAAACTTGCGAGGGTCGTACGTTGATAGGGGACATCACCCTAAAGTTTCAGAGGTTCCCGAGATCATAATATTCCCCGTCAGAATTTTCACGGAGTCATAAGCGATATTTGGTTGCGCTGGAAGGCTGAATTTAAATTTGTTTGGTTGTATGTGGACAGGGGACATAACCGTAAAATTCCAGCTTCCTAGCTTTCATGTCCTCGGGATAATAGTTTCCCCGCCAAAACTTTTATGGGGCCGTAGGTGATACTCGATAGCATGGGAACGCTAGATTTGAATTTGCGAAGTCGTACGTGAGCATGAGGGGTCATTACCATAAAACTTTAATCTCTTACATCCTGTAGTTCCCGAGATAATAATTTAGCCACTAGAAATTTCGCGGGGCCATATATGTTAAACGCGGACGCGGGAAGGTTGAATCTAAATTTTCTGGGTCGCGTGTGGTCCGAAAAAATACCCGCAAAATTTCAGTTTCCTAGCCTTCGTGGTTTCCGAGGTAACAATTTCCCCTGTCAAAGCATTTACGGGACCGTACGTGTTACCCGCGGGTACGGGGAGGCTGAATTTAAATTTGCGGGGTCACACGTGGGCGGGGAACACTCCCCTAAATTTTCAGTTCCCTAGCTTTTGTGGTTTCCGAGTTGAAAGTTGCGGACAAGTTGCTGCGAACACACACACACGCACACACGCACGCACACACCCATACACACGCACACACACCCAGACACACATGCATGCACACACAAACACGCACACACACCCACCCACCCAGACACACACCCACCCACACCTACACACACACACACGCAACCCCGTGGCAAACTGTGTTTGTACAGCTGTTACACAGCACAAAACGTATAAAAAAGGAATGCCAGCAGGTATTGCGCAGTGAGAAATGACAGTTATAATAGGGCTATAGGTTGCGAGATTATGCCCTGTTCATTCATTTCGATGATAAATTGGTACTGGCATATGCCCAGGGGGAATCAAACCCGCCATCGTCTTATATGTAAAAGGAAGTTATCGACAGCTTTGCCAGCGGATGGCATTTGTTACTCATTCCAGCTACTTTGTGATTACTTTCGCCTTTCATGGAAAGCAATTTGGAGGGGGTTTTGAGCGCCGAAATTCAAGAACTAGGTTCTAAAGGCATATTTTTTTCGTTTTGCACAAAATAAGCGACTGGAAATGGAAATGACTGAAGAACTGGCCAGGTCTAGCAACTCATCAAAAGCAGATTAAATGTCGGATAATTTGCTTCGAAATGTTTTTTTTTTTTTTTGAATAAAAATATGGACTGGACACAAAACCCATAGAAATATCAAGAAAATTCAGACTTTTTTTAAATTATCATATTTATTGCAAGCAAAAAAAAAAAGCGCGTTGAATGCTAATGAATAAAACCAACAGGAAACAAAAAGCATAAGCGAAAATATGAAAATATTCAAAAATGCGAAAATGCGAAGCGAAATTAAGCCAAGAATAACCAATTATTCATGAAAAAGGTACTGGTATAAAAATACAAAAAGTGTAAGAATTGTAAATTTTCAGCAACTAAAACGTTGCGAAAAATGAAAAAATATAAAAATTACAAACTTTTAACAAAATAACAAATTAACAATAGCAACATATCATATTTCCATGCAAGTACAACTCTTTTCTGGGAAAAAATAATAAAATTCTCCACTGGCTAATCCTCTCAAAAAAGGCAACTTTTGCTTAGCGTGAAATAATCCCCTTTAATCCTGTCAATAATCCTCCTGCTCCGGATCAAATAATCCTCGTACAGAGGCAGATCGCGAAAAAAAAAGTGATTAAAACATTACGTAATTCTATTTTGAAACAATAACTCTCGTAGCGAAGCAAAATATGCTTAAAAATAATTGCCATTTAATAAAATTCTCCACTGGCTAATTTTTGCAAAAAAAAGCAAATATGACCTTATAAAAAATATTTTAGAATAAGCCAAAAATCTTGCTCTGAGTAAAACAATCATTAGGAAGGCCAATATACTTGAACAGTCCAGCATTTGAATACCTAAAAAAGACGCTGCTACGCTAAAAAAAATCTTTAGAATCTTGAATATCCGTGGGTAAAAAATTTTGCTCTGCGCCAAATAATTTTTGTGGAAAGACTGCTGACCTTATTTAAACAACAATCACCAAAAAAAAAAAAAAACTTACTCTGCGTGAAATAATCCCCACAAGGGCCAATAAAATTTAAAAAAAGACCTAATATAACAAGAATTTGCCCCCTCCCCCCCCAAAATATAAAAATAATCCTCGCATGAAAGAAAATATAAATGAAAAGTGTGAAAAAAAAAGCTTCGTGTGAAACAATCTCCTCACGAAGGCCGATGAAGTTAAAAAAAGACCTAACATAACAAAAATATGCCCCCTCCCCCCCCCTTAAACATAAAAATAATCCCCGCATAAAAGAAAATATAAATGGAAAATACGAAAAATAAGAAAAATTTGCACTGTATACAAATAATTCCCGTACAGAAGAATAATATCATGAAGACAGTGAAGGACAGAAAGCAAAACCGAAATAATACAATAAAATGAATTTGGGAAAAAAAAAAAAAAATAAGCAATTCGACTCTCTGTGTGTTCGTTTTGGCCAAATGCATAGCCAAACATGTAAATGTCCTGTTTTTGATGAAAAATGTATCGTATTTGTAGTGTCAAATGAATGG